CACTCCCTCTCCCCTTCCATTCACATCAAGATTCATTTTCGATTATCTTAGTATACAGAAGATCAGCTTAGTATACCTTAAGTAAGGATTTCAACAGTTTGTTCCCACACAGAAACATAAAGTGAAAAATAATAGATGATTTTTTTTTAAATGATGATGAAATCAGATCAGACCTATTGTCATGTTTAATCCCAGTGAGAGTCAAGTTGGGAATTGATAGTTTCTTTTCTTTTTTTTTTAACAGAAGATCAGTTTAGTGTACATTAAGTAAAGATTTCAACAGTTTGCACCCCCATAGAAACACAAAGTGAAATATACTGTTTGAGTACTCGTTATAGCATTAAGCCTCAGTGTACAGCACATTAAGGACAGAGATCCTACATGAGGAGTAAGTGCACAGTGACTCCTGTTGTTGACTTTACAAATTGACACTCCTGTTTATGGCATCAGTAATCTCCCTATGCACCAGTCATGAGTTTCCAAGGCTATGGAAGCCCCTTGAGTTCTCCGACTCTTATCTTGTTTAGACAAGGTCATAGTCAAAGTGGAGGTTCTCTCCTCCCTTCAGAGAAAGGCACCTCCCTCTTTGAAGACCTGTTCTTTCCACTGGGATCTCACTCACAGAGATCTTTTTGCCAGAGTGTCTTGGCTTTCCATGCAGAGGCTGGTATCTTGATTTGAGACTTCTCAGCCTCCAGAACTGTGAGGAAATAAGTTCCTCTTTATAAACTGCACAACCTCTGATGTTTTGTGGTAGCAGCACAAAGGCTAAGACAATAAGTGACTTTTGTATAGATTTAGGAGGTTAGGAATTAAGGAAAATGAGAGGGCAGGAAGAAGGAATTCATTGTGCCACATTGGAGCTTCACTGACATTTAGTTAAGGCTCCCATAGCAGTTGTCAAGCACTGGATTCACTTGTGTGATAACTTCCTTATTCTTCCATTGGCTGTGTGAAATGGCTTAAAATTCATGATAATATCTCAGAATTGGTGGTATTCTGGTGTTGTTTGTTTCTTTGCTAATTTGTCTTGCCTTTTTAGTGTAGAGTAGAACATATATTCAAAAAATGGAAAAAAGTGGGTACAGATGAAAGAACACTCTTGGCCCATCAACTGTGTGAACAAAGAGAACTACCATGGCCCAGAGGCCCTGATGCCCTCCTCCCTGATTGCATTCTTTCTCTCCCCAGAAGTCTTCCCCATTCCAAATTTTATGTGACTCATTCTTTGGTTTTTGTTTTTCACTGCTTCTGTCTTTACTCCTAAATAAATTTTGTCTGTTGTAGACTACATAATAAAGGCAGTCATGGCTGTGTGAACTCTTTGACATGCTTCTTTTGTGTAAGTTTTTAAAAAAGATTTATTTTTTAAATAAAAGAGTTACAGAGGTAAAGACAGAGAGGTCTTCCATTCCACTGTTCACTCTCCAGATGGCTGCAACGGCTGGAGCTGCACCGATCCAAAGCCAGGAGCTTCTTCTGGGTCTCCCAGGTGGGTGCAGGGGCTCAAGGACTTGGGCCATCTTCTGCTATCCCAGGCCATGGCAGAGAGATGGATCAGAAGAGGAGCAGTTGGGACTATATTCGGCGCCCACTTGTGATGCTGGTGCTTCAGGCCAGGGCTTTAACCTGCTGTGCCACAGCATCGGCCCCTATTTATCTATTTGAAAGGCTGATTTTACAGAGAGAGGGAGAAACAGAGATCTTCCATCTGCTGGTTCACTCCCCAAATGGCTGCAATGGCCACAGCTGGACAAACATGAAGCTAGGAGCCAAGAACCAGGAGCTTCCTCCTGGTCTCCCACGTGGGTGCAGGGGCACAAATACTGTTTTCCCAGGCCATAGCAAAGAGCTGGATCAGAAGTGGAGCAGCCAAGACTAGAATCGGCACCCATATGGCCAGTGCTGTCCTCTTGTGCAAGTTTTTGAGATTCATCAATGTTGATGTGTATGAAGGTACCTCAAAAAGTATGTGAAATGGTTGAAGATAACGTGGGGGGCCTGGTGCTGCGGCACTGGCATCCCATATGGGCTCCAGTTCTAGTCCTCGCTGCTCCACTTCTGATCCAGCTCTCTGCTATGGCCTGGGAAAGCAGTGAAAGATGGCCCAAGTGTTTGTGCCCTTGCACCCATGTGGGAGACCAGGAAGAAGCTCCTGGCTTTGGATCGGCCCAGCTCCGGCCGTTGTGACCATCTGGGGAGTGAACCAGTGGATGGAAGACCTCTCTCTCTGTCTTTCCCTCTCACTGTCTGTAATGCTACCTGTCAAATAAATAAATATTTTTAAAATAAAAGAATGTGAAATTTTCATGAACTTTTTGAGGAACACCTGTGTAGTTGTATCCTATTTACTGTCACTGTTGTGTAATATGTCGTTGAATGGACATAACCCTAATTTACTTATCCACTCGTGGACAGTTGAATTGTTTTCCATATTTTTGCTATTAGAAACAATGCTGCTTGTGTATTATTATATATTTCCTGTGCAAGAATTTGTCTGTAGTATATACATAGAATTTCTCATGCTCAGCTTTATAAGATAATACCAAACCATTTTCTAAAGGAGTCCCAGCTGTTTTTTTTTTTTTCTTGCACCAATAGTGGAAGGAATTCTTCCTTGCTCTTAATCCTCCTGACAGTGGGTATTGTCCAACTTAAAGTTTTGCCAATCAGGTGGGGGTGAAATGGCATGTTATAATGATTTGAATGTTATCTCCTTGATTACAAATAAGGTTAAACATCACTTTCATGTGAGGGACTTGTTCCTTTTTCTTGAAATTCCTATTCACTCTTATTTCTGGTCCTTTATCCCACCCTCACCCCCCCCCCCAAGGAGTTATTTGTATACTATTGATACTATTAGTTTATTATCTAAATGTATAGCACATGTCATTTTTAGTACCTAACTGGATGTGGAAGGCAAGGGAGAAGTAGTATAGAACTACTCTTGGTGTTTGCTTTGGGTATCTGAGTGGATCTGCTGTGCCTCAGTTATGTAGGACTCTTATCTGATGAGCCTTTAAGAGTCTGCAGGTGGAAGGAATATAGCAGTTCTCCAGCCCACTTGTCCTCTGCCCATCTTCTGCAGGCCATGGATTCTCCCATCTAACCTTTTTTTTTTTTTAAGATTGATTGATTTATTTGAAAGGCAGAGTTACAGAGAGACAGGTCTTCCATCCACTGGTTGATTCCCCAGATGGCTATAAGGGCCAGAGCTGTGCTGATCCAAAGCCAGGAACCAAGAGCTTCTTCTGGGTCTCCCATGCAAGTCCAGGGTCCCAAGGACTTGGGCCATCTTGTATTGCTTTCCCAGGCCATAGCAGAGAGCTGGATCAGAAGTGGAGCAGCTGGGACTCGAACAGGCACCCATATGGGATGCCAGCACTGCACCCACTAAGCCACAGTGCTGCCCCCCCCATCTAACCTTCCTAGGAAATAAATGTCTCAGTCAGATGACCCACACAACACTTCTTTTTTATGCCACTTTATTGCTTTTTCAGTCTCAACTGTTAGATAATCTTTTTTAATATTTCCAAGAGAACACATTATTTTAATTTTGAAATGTAGCACATTTTGTCGTACTATAAAAGACGCAGAACATTATCTACAGTTTAAAATTTCTTCCATTTCTTATGGAGATACTTATCACAAATTATTCCACATACACTGAAAACAATAGAAGGAACATATACATCTAAGAACACTACTTTGTACAGTCTTTCATTAAATAATATTTACATATACATTTTCAGTTTCCTGGATATTTTTGTACATGTATACAACCACTACAAGAATATGGGCCCCTTACAAGGATGATACAAACATAACTTTTAAAAAAAGTAGATCTTACCACCTTGGTCACATGGCTTTTAGTTGTTTGAGGTTCTAAGAATGACCCCATAATAACCCTTAAAAACTATGAATGGTGAGGAAAATGTCAGTAACAGGGACTTGCACATTCACTCAGAACGTAGCAGCTTGGTGTAGCTTATGTTCTAGTGGCAAGGCAGAGTTACTCTGAACAGCTTGACCTTCTTGCAGGAGTAGAAGCAGCTGACTTGGTGGTGGTGGCTGGTCACCTTTTAGGAGAACTGCAAACTGAGGCCAATTAGAGATTGGCATAGGGGAAGAAGGGAAGTGTGGCAGAGGCAGCCTCGCAGTGGTCCATTCTCATCACTGCAGTGTTTGCTTCTCTCTGGTTTTACGATGATCCTCTGGACCTGTGAGAAGAGAAAGAAAGTGTAAGTGTGCTACTCAGACCCTGGCTTCAGACTGAGTTCATAATAACCCAAAGATCCTCAGTTAAAAGATGTGGTGCATTGTCCTATTGCTGCACAGTCATTGTTAGTGTTTACAGGGGCTGCATATTTTTTGACTGGTTGGTTGGTGTTTATTTTTTTTCAGGTCAGAAAAGTCTTTCAGGAGATTTGACAGCTTTGCTTGCAGAGTTATTGCTCTGCCTCAAGGTTGAAGGGTCCTGGCATTTTTAGACAGGTAATACAGCTAACTTTAGTTCTTACCACACAAGATAGCACATTAGTATATAAGTAACTGGAAATCGAGGATGACATAGTGATGATAGACTTTTAAGCTAAGATCTCACAGTAAAGCACAATGCAAAGATTTCTAGCTTTCTGTGATTGCATTTCCTAAAGAGCAGTTCTTCTGCAAGCAACAGCAAGCCTACCTTTCCTTGCTAAATGCTTTCAGCAACTTCTTGATGGCTTTCAATTCTGGATTCAGACATCTCTTCTCCCCATCCTTTTTCATTGTGGCACTATTAGAAAGAAATAAGAGTGTAAATATTTAAATAATGTTGGGCCAATAAGCAGATGAAATCATAGTTCCAGAATCAGACACCACAGTTTTACTTTACATTTTTCTTGTGCTGTACATTAGTTTTAGAATCATCAGAAAACACTTCATTGATCTTTTGAAACTGTCATCAAATGTTTAATAAATGATTGTAACCAGGGAGGTGATCACCAGATAAGATTTTACTCACATGATCTCAACATTTGCACAAGATTGACTTGCAGGAATGATTTCAAGTTTTTCCAAGGATCTTGGATTAACAGGTTTATTACTAATGTTGATACAGGTACAGCGTACAGTTCTAGAGAGAGGCATTCCTGCAGAAGAGAGACAGGTATAGCAAAGAAGATTAACATGGTGTTTTCTTATAGGCATTTAGTGTGGACTGGATAATATTTAGCAGAATCTATAACCCCATTTCTTTTCATGGTCTCTTAATTAGAGAAGGAATGCATGCCATTTTAACACAGCACTGAATGATTAAATAGTTGATTATCTGGATGAGAAGAGTTGTAATTTGTTGATTATAAAATCCTATTGTTGAGCACAGTCCTAGTGCTTAATTAAGCTTAGAGAAGGCAGTATCTGTATCTTACCCTCTTTCTTCTCATCCTCACATTGTCTTTCTGCCCTTCCTCTCCCCCCTTTCTTTCAGGCTACTATTTCTCCTACTTTAGTCATTTGTATAAACTCTGTGACCATGGAAATCTCTGGTCATTTCCCTCTCTTTTATAGACAGTGAAACTTTTTCAAACAGATTCTTTATTTTCAAATTTATACCCCGACCTATTTCTGATTTTACAAATTAGATGTATCTTGATATTTCTTACCTTTAGTCCCACTCAGAGTCAGGAAAATAAGGCAGAAAATAAGAATTGCACTTTGGTTCATGGTTCTGAGTCTGGAGGTGCCTCTGTAGTAGTGGGCTCAGGATGCTTCTATGCAGTTGAGAGCTTCAGAAAACGTGGGGCTAGTATGCACTATTTATTTGCAAAGGCACTTTCCCTCCCTAACTCTGATTGGATAACATTTTAGTTGAGTCAGGAAACCTACTGGCTGTTCCTTGGGGAAGTCCCATGTTGCGTAATTCAAGATACTACTTGTATTCTTTTATGACCTCCCATTTATGGAATTTCCCTCTGTCCTCTTGTAGCACCAGTGAGTTAGCTTTCACTTTCCAAAACATGAACTGTTTCCTGAAAAACAAAACTTTATTGCATGTAGAAATATTTGATTTCAATCCAGCTCTCTGCTATGGCCTGGGAAAGCAGTGGAGGGTGGCCCAAATCCTTGGGCCCCTGCACCTGCTTGGGAGGCCCCATATTGGATGCTGGTACTGCAGGTAGAGGCTTAACCTATGATACACCACAGCACCAGCCCCTCCAGAGGCTATTTTTAAAATATCCTCAGCAATAGCAATTCTTCATCATTTGTGAGTGAATCTAACTTTTGGTAGCAACAAGTTGTATCTGATTATTAGGACAAGCAGTTTAGCTGAAGAATGCCCTTTGATCAAATAATATAAAGTAGTAAGTGTGGTGTTTTTTATTTTTTTTTTACTTTCTTACCGATTTATTTATTTGAAAGTCAGAATTACACAGAAAAGGAGAGGCAGAGAGAGAGAGAGGTCTTCAGTCTGCTGGTTCATTCCCCAGTTGACTGCAACGGCCAGAGCTGCGTCAGATCTGAAGCCAGGAGCTTCTACCGGGTCTCCACGTGGATGAAGGGGCCCAAGACTTGGGCCATCTTCTACTGCTTTTCCAGGCCATAGCAGAGAGCTGGATCAGAAGTGGACAGTTGGGTCTCGAACCGGCACCCATTTGGGATAATGGCACTGCAGGCAGCGGCTTTACCCACTATGCCAAAGTGCCAGTCCCAAAGTGTGGTGTTTTTAGAAAAGGTCAAAGACAGGGAACTAGCATATGACAAGGGGTTCCACAAATACCTTGACCATTCATAACACCATAGAATAAGCTAATAGCTTCCGATGTAACTTTTGAAAAATATTTTAAATTTGAGAGACAGAAACAGACATCTTGCATTCCCAAATGCTTGTGATGACAAAAACTCAACTATGCCAAAGCCAAGAGCTAGAACTGTTTCCCGTGTGGATGGCAGGGACCCAGGTACTTGCGTCTTCTGTCTCCTAGCATTAGCAGGACATTGGATTTGTAAGCAGAGCCAGCAATCAAACCCAGGCACTCTGATGCAGGTGTCCTAAATAGTGTCCTACCTGCTGCACCAAACACTGCTCCCAGTGTAACTAGAGGGAAAATGTTACACACGTAGATACCTGATTTCTGGTGTGTTCATGTCTTATACTCAGTCCCTGTATGAAGATATCAAAAGATAACATCTAGAATGGTGTGAGAACAATGTCCATAGGTATAACAGGATTGTTGGGGGAAGAAAAAAAAGGAAGGGCTGGCATTGTGACAATGGTCAAGCCATTGCTTGCAACATTGGCATCCCATAAGGCACAAGTTTGAGTCCTGGGTGTTCCACTTCTGATCCAGCTCTCTGCTGAATGTGTCTGGGAAACAGCAGAAGATGGTCCAAGTGCTTGGGCCTTTGCACCCACTTTCAAATAAATAAATACATCTCTAAAAGGGTGCTTTTTGGGGAAATAAATTTCAAAGGAAGGCATGAATAGGGACAGGAGAGAACAAGTTGATTTACGAGAGGATTCCCCTGCAAGAGACTCTCATGTGCAAAGCAAAAGAAAGTGTTAGACAATGAGCTAACATAACCCAAAATCAAAACTGTTATACCTAACTTCAATGAAATACTTTTTTCACATTCCTATATGCATGAAATCATGCAATACTTGCCTTTTTGTGCTTGAACATTTCACTAATAAAGACTTCTAAAAAAGAAGTTGAAAAAAGATAGAAAATGACCTCCAGTTCCATCCATGTTGTTGCCAATAACATTTTATCCTTTTGTGGATAGATAGTATTCCGTATGTATACATACCACATTTTCTTGACCCATTCATTAGTAGATGGGTGCTTAGGTTGTTTCCATTTCTTGGCTATTAGAAATAGTGCTACAATAAACATGGGAGTGCAAGTGTCTTTTCTACAGAGTGATTTCATTTCCCTTGGATATATTCCCAAGGATTGCTCATCATGCAGTACTTTTTCTTTTTTTTTTTTTTTTTTTGGGGGGGGGGCCTGCATGCTGTTTTCCATAATGGCTGTTTTAATTTCCCTTCCCACCAACAGCACACAAGAGTTTTCTTTTCTCCACATCCTCTCCAGCACTTGTTATCTTTTGGGTAGTAGCCAGTCTGACTGGAGTGAAATGCTACCTCATGTGGTTTTTTTTTTTTTTTTGACAGGCAGAGTGGACAGTGAGACAGAGAGACAGAGAGAAAGGTCTTCCTTTTGCCGTTGGTTCACCCTCCAATGGCCGCTGCGGCCGGCGCACCGCGCTGATCCGATGGCAGGAGCCAGGAGCCAGGTGCTTTTCCTGGTCTCCCATGGGGTGCAGGGCCTAAGCACCTGGGCCATCCTCCACTGCACTCCCTGGCCACAGCAGAGAGCTGGCCTGGAAGAGGGGCAACCGGGACAGAATCCGGTGCCCCAACCGGGACTAGAACCCGGTGTGCCGGCGCCGCTAGACGGAGGATTAGCCTAGTGAGCCACGGCGCCGGCCACCTCATGTGGTTTTGATTTGTATTTATCCAGTGATTAGAGATTTTGAGCCTATATTCTTGTACCAGCACTCATGTAGGATGTCAGCCTCTCAGCTATACCACAACACCTGCCCCGGGTCTAGAGACTCTGAGAGCACTAGCTGGAGGCATAGGAAATTTGGGCTCTGATTTCTTGCCCTATCCTCAGCAAGTAGAATCTTGTTCTGTAGTCTGTGTGAGATCAAGGAGAGAAAATGAAGGCAGTCCTTGGCTAAGAAAGATGCATAGCTCAGACGGCAGGCATTTGCCTCTGGGAAGAGGCTGTGGGTGTCCTTGTCTGGCCCTGGATTTCACTATGGAGAGCCTGGTACTAGGTGTCAAGTGTAAGGTTTCAACTTAATTCCCTCTTCCTCCCCCAAGTGGGAGGTGTCTCTCCATGCTGGGTTTCTTGGAGTTGGGAGAGGAATAACAAGAGCATTTTTTAAATGCATGCTTTCTTGTTACCATACTAAAATGAGGCACTGTGATCTCACCTGGCAGCCTTAGCGCTTGCTAGGAGGTTTGATTCATAAATAGCTGCTCAGTTGGAGTCTCTGTGGAAAGACAGTTGCTAGAGTGTCTTACTCATCTGCCATCTTGCTCTACCTCTCTTTTTCTATTGTTTGACTTTTAACATATCTGAATTTGAACCTTAAGTATGTTTCTTGTAAATAGCATATAGTTGAATCCTTTTTTAAAAAAAAAAAAATTCATTTTACCAGTCTCTGGAATTGGATTGTGATGTTTAGTCCATTTATATTTAATGCAATTGGTGATAAAGTAAGATTTTAAAACTGCCATTTTTCCTATATATTTTGCTTCTCTTCCTCTGTTACTGCCTTCTTTTGTATTAACTAGCTATTTTCTAGCATATCATTTAAAATTTTTTATTTAAAGATTTATTTAGTTGAAAGAGTTAGAAGAAGGGGGCAAAGAGAGAGAGAATGAATGAATGAATTGATCTTCCATCAGCTGGTTCACTTGCTAGATGGCCACAATAACCAGGGCTGGGGCAGGCTGAAACCAGGAGCCACCCACATGGGAGACCTCAAAAAAGCTCTTGGCACCCGTCGGTTCATATTTTTTCCATGTGGACATGCCCAAATAGAAGCAGCACTGTCTATAAATCCTTGGGGCCACACTATCCAGATTAGTTGTTGCTTTATGCATTATTTTTTAAAGAATTTCAGAGGCAAATAGAATCTGGCAGGAGAGGCTTGAGAATAATCAGGTGGGTGTTAAGGCCTGGGCATGTATATCTGAAGCTGGACCTATCTGTGTCTTCACATGGGACTGGAAGAGACATTACAGGGGAAGTATGAACCTCCTTAGGAAAGACACCCCATTGACTCCCATTACCTGGCTGGCCTGGGAGGAGAGCTGACCTGATTAGGAGGTTAATGCAGAATAAGCAGCATCTCTAGAATAAAATTCATGACACTGTCTGACCTTAAGCCACCCCCTCAACAGTGATGGTTCCTTTGGAAGCTCGGCAGAGTGAAGGGCTTCTTCAGCTTAGGGTCTTCTTGTTTTTGGTCTGACTGTAAAATTTCCAGAGATTATCTTCTAGCTTGGATACTCTTTCTTCTGCCTCACCAATCCTGTTAAGACTCCACTGCATTTTTTATTTGATTTATTAAATTCTTCATTTCTAGTATTTCATTTTGATTTCTCTTTAAGATCTCAATTTCATGGGAAAATTTTTCATTCATATCATATATAGTTTTCTTTAGTTCATGAATTTGCTTCTGATTGCTTCTGAGTAATGATTAATTTTTTGAATTCCATTTTCGGCATTTCCCCAGTCTCTTCATCTTCACACTCTAATATTGAAATGTTGTAGTGTTCCTTTAGGGAGCTCATAATGTATTCCTTATTCTTGTTTCTTGAATTTTTTTGTTTTTGTTTTTCTTGTTGTTTTTGTTTGGACAGGCAGAGTTAGCGAGAGAGACAGAAAGGTCTTCCTTTTTCTGTTGGTTCACCCCCAAAGTGGCCGCTACGGCTGGCGTGTTGCTGCCGGCGTGCTGTGCCAATCTGAAGCCAGGAGCCAGGTGCTTCCTCCTGGTCTCCCATGTGGGTGTACGACCCAAGGACCTGGGCCATCCTCCACTGCACTCCCAGGCCACAGCAGAGAGCTGGACTGGAAGAGGAGCAACTGGGACAGAATCTGGCGCCCCAACCAGGACTAGAACCCCGGGTGCCAGTGCTGCAGGTGGAAGATTAGCCTAGTGAGCCACAGCACCGGCACAACACATTTTTTTAAGGCAGTTTTCAGGTAGCTGCAAGATAGTTCTCA